GGGGGGGGGGGGGGTGGTGGGGAAATAGAGGAGCAGGAGGTGAGACCCTGCCAAGGCCATGCCCCCCACCCCCATCTCTGGCCCAATCCTATGGCTCCAGCCCTGCCCCCAGCCCCACAGCCAAGGGCACAAGCCCCACCTCCACAGCTCAGCCCCCGCCCCCAAAGCCCACCTCTGGGCAACAGGCTCCCCTCAAGGCAGAGATTGCCCCCAATCCTCATGCTCCCCCCACACACAGGCTCAGACCCCGTCCCCACCCTCACGGCCCTTCCTCCTTTCGCTCAGACCCTGTCCCTAGGGCCCTGCCCCCAGCCCCACAGCCAAGGGCACAAGCCCCACCTCCACAGCTCAGCCCCCGCCCCCAAAGCCCACCTCTGGGCAACAGGCTCCCCTCAAGGCAGAGATTGCCCCCAATCCTCATGCTCCCCCCACACACAGGCTCAGACCCCGTCCCCACCCTCACGGCCCTTCCTCCTTTCGCTCAGACCCTGTCCCTAGGCTCAAGGTCCGCGCCCTACTGCCCCACGTGGCTCAGGCCCCGCCCCCCGCGCACATCATGAAGCAGTTGATGTCGGGCTTGCGGCAGATGCAGTAAACCGGCGCGTTCTCCCCATTTTCCGAGCGCGTCTCCTCGCTCGCCCCGGCCGGCTCCGCGTCCGAGAACTCGCTGTCCTGGGGGCGAGGCAGGGTCAGGGAACCCGGTGTCCGGGATTCCCCTGCTCCGACACCCCTCCCCCCGAGAACCCAGATGTCCGACACACCCCTCCTTTCAAGAACCCAGGCGCACGGTCTCCTAGCGCCCCCCTTCACGGGAATCCAGGTGTCCGAGATGCCCCCCCACTCCCAGAAAACCCAGGCATCCAAGCCCCCAGCCCTTCCCCCCACCCACACAACACAGGTGTCCTGGACCCCCTCACCATAGCTGGCCGCTGAGGGTCCCTTGTTTTGCGAGTCACCAACAAAACAAGGGGTCTCGCAAGAAGCTCTGACTTCCGCGGTACTTCCGCTTCCGGGTCATCCTGCCTGCCTCGAACCCCTCCACTGATCATCACCCAGCGCCTAGTCGCTCCTCTGCCCTCTTCAAACATGGCCGAGGTCTAAGAGCGGCGAAGGGACCGGACTCAAGGTGGCCGCCCTCAGAGGGTGCCCGCCTTCAAAATGGCCGCTCCTTCCAGCAGAAGCGCTCCACTTCTCCACCCGTACCAAACATGGCCGCCACCGCTTCTACTATGTGGCCGTCTGACTTATGACACTGCGGTGTGGCCATCTTTGATTGCGTCAAGTGCCAGGCACGTTGAATCGAACGCCACCCAACGGATTGGACGGATTGAGTCAAAGAAAGAAATGGTTTGAGGGGAGAGATGGATTCAGGGGGTGTCTACAAGGAAGGATGGATGGATGGGTAAATAGAGGGAGGGACAGAGTGGGTGTGGCGATGGAGAGATGGATCGGGGTTGAGTATGGGAATGGATGGAGATATGGGGTATATATGGGGAAGGACAGATGGCTAGAGATGCAAAGGTATGTGGGGAGGGGCATGTTTAGGGATTGATGAAGAGATGGTTCCAGGCACGGCTGTCCTTAGGTGGGGGGCAAGCTGGGGCAGCCACCCCCAACCTGGCACGTTGGGGGGCCCCCACAGAACTGGGCAGAGCAGCCACGGCAACTGAGTGCTGCTGCTGCCGGCTTCACGTCTGGCTGCTCAGAAATCTCCAACCCCCCAAATCCACCACCGGCTTCTTTGGGTGTAGGGTGTGCAGGGGCAGGGCCCTGCACAGGCTGCACCCTGCTTGGGTCATCTCTGGTTCCAGGGATATGATATGTGTCACAACCCAATTAAATTGTGCCCATGCCACTGAGCAAGAGATACCATTCAAATCATCCTCATTTTGACGATTAAGGGTTAAAAGACATCCCTGCCAAAAATTCCTTGAAACAAAACACAGCCGGAGTACTGTAGATAATTGGTCAGCTGAAATAAAATGCTAGGGGAAACTATATATAATTGGTCCAAAAATAAGCGTAAGCTCCTCACACGTAGCACACACGTAACAGGTAGAGAAACCTAACCCACTACCTTGTAACTTGAGGAGACAAAGAGATGCCACCTGCCAAAAATTAAAGATTCCATATAACAGTTCACCATTGGATATTCCTGTAAAACACCTCTGCCTATAAATAGTTTAACGGTTTTCGCCCAAGGCGGAGA